TTACTTGCTTATTCGTTATCGATGTTTATTTTCACGTGCCCTATTTCTAGGAATAGTCAACTCCTCAAAAGTAACTTTGAACAGGATAACATACCAAATGGTCCCACTGAAAGGGCGTTAGCTTTGAAATTTACAGTTGAATAATGTTATTCCTTTCGCTTCTGATAGTGACCAACGGTCAAAATTCTCAAAAATTCCAAACCTCTTCGTATAAGATCCTAAGAAATTAATTGTGTGATGCAAAAGGTCTGGCAACGGGGTTCATTTGAATGGTCACACCATAGGATTTCATCTACAGACTCAAAAGTTAGAACTACAAACTAAATAAATAGTACCATGTGAAAGTACTGCTGAAGAGGTTTCATTTGAATGGTAACATCATAGGATTTGCCCCAGAGATTTAAAAGTTAGGAATTTTGACAAATCCTTCATGAGATGATCTACGACTGATTCGGAATTCGGTTAAAAAGTAATGGAAAAAGGTTATTTAGCTTTATTTTTGTAGAAAACATCGTTTGACATAACATTCTTTAAAATCCATTGTCTTTACATTAATGTGACATTTGATATCTATAATGAAGTGAAATAACAGAGTATATTTAAGTCAATGTATAGTGATTGCAGAGGAGATGTTGGTCATTAAAGTTTTTAAATTCCTTGTTGGATTTCGTGATATTTTTTTCACTGCGTAAATAGGCTGCATTGTGCATGTTCACAGGGTTAAAGAGCGTCAAATACGCAATATAATCGAAATCATGAAGTTTTGGTCAATTTCATCCAATAATTGTTTTATCATTTACCCAGGTTAGCCTCCTCCGCAGGCTTCACTGTCCAATTTTAGTGAACAGGTGGGAGAATGGAGAGAGAACATTTTTTTTCCTTTTCTCGATCTCAGACTCCTCAGGGCCAGTGTAACCGTTACAATGGAAATTGCCTGCAGAGAAGACCGGCTATAGCCAGGTTGCTGGTTACATGATTAAGGTATCATCCATGGTAAAAATTCATAAGTTTTCAAAATTTGCAGCTTTTAGATGAATTCCAGAAACAAAATTAATTGCGGAGACATATGGAGCGCAAAAGAGTCTTCGACGCTCATGTGCTAAGCATTTTGCCATATCGGTCGAAAAACATTTTGATTTTATCACAGGAAGCAGAGTAGTCAGGTTTGTAGCCTGAGTATCTGATAGTATCCCGCGTTTCTGGGGGGGGGGGGGGGGGGGGGGGGGGGGGGNTGGGGGGGGGGGGGGGGGGGAGGTGGGGTGGGGGAGAGAAGAGAGCAGCGGAAAGTCCTCAAAAATCTCCTCTTCCCTAATCAATAAGTAAGGCCCGTTTCAAACGTCGTGCTACTGCCGTGCCGAACTTAATTGATCGAATTAAATTTGACTTTAGCACAGCAGTAGCCGTTCCTTTATTTTTGTGTTTTGTTTTCGACAACAGCCGTTCTTTTCGACTGAATTAAATTCGACGTCTGAAACCAAGTCATGTTAGTGTCGTGCTGCAGTCGAGCTACAGTCGAGCCAGCTTAGCACGGCAGTAGCACGACGAGTCTAAACAATTTCATACTTCTTTATTTGCCGTTAATCAGTTTCTTCTTCTGATCTCCCATAAATAATCCGTGTACTATTCGTCAGAAGTCGTTTTCGACAGTTCACTGCTACACAGTCTTTTCGATCGTGCTATTCGTTCACCGTTTCTCGAGCGCTTATGCGGATTTAATGGGTGTTTATGTAGTTTCAAGTTGCCTCAGTATTGGTTTACTTCTTATTGACCGCCAATGTTGACAAACTTCATGAGGATGCCTTCTTTTTTTATGATGGCTTTAGCCCCACATAATTGCAAATTTCAGATTTTGAATCAAAGTGTAAAAGCAATATTACCCAACCCAAATTTTGTTACTATAAGAAATTTTTCAATCAGTGAACCCTTAATTAAAAAAGTAAATAAACTTGACAAAATAGTAAAGACTTGCTCAACACTTTACAGCACAGCGAAAAAACAAACACGATCATCTCAACGGCAATAAATGTTCTCCCTCGCATTACACATGCCGAATGCCGTAACCAATACTACATCACAAACGGATTAGTTGCCTACAACCTTCGAGAATTTCTTGACCATACTTCTTGTATTCGCAACTTTAAGCTATACAATTTCCTGGCCGTGTATCCGGCTTCTAAAATTTCCTGTGGTGGTAGGTCGGCAGGGGAAATAGAAAAGAACTTCGGAAAGTCAGGAGGAAAGTCAGTTTTCAGTTGACGCAATACCCCTGTCCGCTGGAAACGTGCGCGTAACTTTGGGGGAAAATCTTTTGAATTGTCACTAAATTGTGACCGATCATTGGAGAAAAACGACCTAGAAATAAAAGTTTGTATTTGAAAGTGAGCTTATTCAGAAAAGTTACCAGACTTATGCCGAATTACAGCAAAAATTTCCATATCTATATTGACTCAAAATGCATTTTTTGAGGTCGTGGGATGAAGGTTCCAGATACTGGGGAATTGTCTGTTACTGCATGTGTACCTGGGGATAAGGATAGACCACCAAGTAAGACAAAATTACAAAACCTGGGGGTGTTTTTGAAGGATGTAGTAACAGTTGGATTGGAATCATGCACGCAAATTATCTACATTTAACTGCAGTGGAGTTAATGTTCTTAATGTTAACAAAACAGCAAGACACTTAAATGCTCTTCACCTATCGATATTGATCCCTCTAGGAAAAATCCATCATATTTCAGACTTTTGAGAGCAAGCCGTTTAAACCTTCCTTGACAGTTATATAGAACTGTTAATAAGTTTAATGTCTGTGTTTAAAGTTGATCGACACGGGCTCTGTTATAACGGGCGTTGTCTACGAACTTAGAAACTAAACCATGTCGGCGCTTCACAGAGGTGAGCTTCCCTTGGATCAAAGAGATGAATGGCAGCACTGATTCCTCGCTAACTTTTCTATAAATCGCTGCGAAAGGTTCAAAGAATATTATTTGGAGAACACTGTCACTAGTTTGTTCTTCATCGCCCTGAACTTAGGATCATGCCCTGTTATCATCTTGATGAAGGTGTTTATTACCATAGTGATAAAAACACGACGCAGATTACAACATACTACTGGCTTGCTTAGCAGGAACTGATCTGGCGGTAGTTTCACAGCCGTTATTCATCGCACAAGAAATCTACTTTCTGTCGCGACCCTCGCTTTTGCATTATTGTTACTTCTCCAGACTGATATTTTCTGTTTTTCTTGTTCTATGTATTGAATCGTTGCTTGATCTTAGCTATACTGAGTACTGAGCGTTATATAGCCATGAAGTATCCACTTAGATAGGCTAGCATCGTGACCACATCGAGGTTAATAGACGCTGTAATTTGTAGTTGGCTTATTTCAGCCATTTCACAACTACTTTTCTACGCAACTGCTTTTCCAGCCAGTATGTCATTGTTTTCTGTCGAAAGTTTATTTTGTCTCTCGCCGTCATATGAATCAAATCAAAACACAACGACTCCCAAGTATAACGAAAGCCAAATTCTTAGGGGAAAGAAAAGCCTTGAAAACTACCAGTATAATAGTCGGATTTCTTTTCCTTTCATATGTGCCAAGCATTTTGCACGGGGTAATCAGATTTACTGGAGTCCAACTCAAGCAGTTACACTGGGTGTCATTCGTTTTTTTATGTAATTTTTTGAACTCTTTATTTAGTCCTCTTATGTACTGTTGGAGAAACAAAGATCTGCGTAAAGTTATGATGGAACTGCTCAACATCAGACAAAATGGAAAATAACTTTTTAAAAGGTTGAGTTTGATCGTCCGGGTGAGCGTAGTCCTGAATAGGACTGTTGTTGTTGACAGTGACTGACGTTTCGACAACCTGTGCGGTAGTCATCTTCAGAGTCAAAATGAGTTGTATCACGTCAGTTGATGGTATTATACTCTGGTTATTGATCTGGTTGGTCAATAATGTCGCGATGTTATTGGTCGTCTGTCAGTTAAGCCGTGATGTTATTGGCTATGAAGCCTCGTAATCAGTGATTGGTGCGTTTCGATCCGTCTAATGTCACAGTTAAACAGTCGTCTATTGTTAGTCAAATTGTCAGTTCTCCAGTTGTTCTCTCGTAGTTAGTTTTGCTTGATCTCGTGAATAAGTCGTTTGTACGGCGCTGGTAACTGTTGGCTACGATTCAGTGGCGTTTGTTCTAAGTCAGTAAACCAGCTTTCTAAAGTAAGACGTTGATAGTAGTCTGTAGAATACGTTATACATGTCGCAGAGTCCCAGTCAATTTGATGTTTCGTCTTGTGATATTCCTCGTCGCGCGTTTGTGTTCGGTCAGTCGCGTGCTTAGGTTTCTGCCGGTTTCACCAATGTAAGAAGCCTGGCAGTCGCAGCATTTGATCTTGTATACTGCTCCCTGTCTGTCCTCCGGTTTGTCTTTGTCCTTGACATTAGTAAGCAGTCGTCGTAAAGTGGTTATCGGTTTGTGCGCAACACGTATATTGTAAGGTTGTAATATACGTGCAATAGTTTCAGAGGTGCCTTTGATGTATGGTATAGTCGCTGTCGTAACAGGGCCATAGTTGGTCTGAGAGTTGGAATCAGTGTTACTGTGAGTGTTCCGTCTAACAAAGTCCGTGTTGTAATTGTTCTTACTAAAAACGTTGTTAAGATAATCAATCTCGTCTTGGAGGCTGTCAGGTGAGTCGCAAACTAGTTGCGCTCGTCTCGTCAGAGTCCGGATAGTAGTAGCCTTGTGAGAGGTCGGGTTGTACGAAGACTGGTCTAGTAATCGGTCGGTATGTGTCGGTTTTCTGTAAATAGTCGTTTTTAGTTTGTTGTTGTCGCGAGTGACCAAGCAGTCTAGAAAAGGTATCTTACCATTTTCTTCGATCTCCTTGGTGAACTGTATGTCCGCGTTCTGTCTGTTAAGGTGTTCGTGAAAATCGTCGATTCCGTCTTTGTGCACGGCGGTGAATGTGTCGTCAACGTAACGTAACCGACGAGTTACAGTTCACGTGTAGGTAGCTAGGGCTTGTTCCTCGATGTTTTGCATGACAATTTCTGCTACAACAACAGAAACTGGAGAGCCCATAGCTGTACCGTGTAACTGTGTGTAGTGTTTGCCATTGTATTGAAAGTACGTCGAAGTCAAACAGAGGTTGAGTTGGTCCATAATGTCGTCTGTAGGTAGTGGTAGTTCAACAGTAGAGTTCTTAATAGCGTTCTCAGTACAGTCTAGAGCCAGTTGAAGTGGAACACTGGTGAACAGCGATTTCACGTCAAAGGACACTAGTTTGTGGTCGTCTGGTATCTGTATTGTCTTAATGGCGTCAATAAAGTTCTCAGTAGACTGTAGTTTGTGTCTAGATTCGTCAGTCAGCGGTTTCAGTACGTTAGTTAAGTATTTAGACAGTTGGTAGGTTGGGGACCCACAGAAAGAAACTATGGGCCGCATAGGTATGTTGGGTTTGTGTAGTTTTGGTAGTCCATACAGCTTGGGTGGCTGCGGAACGCTACACCTCAGTCTGATGTAGCGTCGAAAGTCGATCTTGTCGGTTTTCTTCAGTGTAAGCAGTTTGTTGTTACGTTTGCGTTGCAGTGCGGGTGTCGGGTCTCGTTTAAGTACTTCGTGGGTCTGTTTGTCGTTAACAAGCGAGTCCATTTCGTCATTGTAGTCTGTCTTGTCCATAACAACAGTCACCCGTCCCTTATCTGTGGGTAGTATGACTATGTTCTCGTCTGTTTTCAGTCGTTTAAGTGCTTTCTGTTCGTCAGGAGTCAAGTTACTGTTCGGTAATGAGGCTGATTGTAGAGTAGAGGTCACTCTACTTCTGATGTTATCCTTGGTCGATTCTGATAGCTCGTGTTGGCGAGACAGAACGGCCTCAACGCTAGATACAACAGCCTCAGTAGGTATTTGTTTAGTTGTCACTGAGTGTTTAAGTTCGTAAGAAAGTACTTGTGTTTCAGTCTCGTCTAAGGGACGGGATGAAATATTCCTGACCCAGTTTGCGTCGGGTTTACGTCGTTTAGCGTTTTTTGTGTCTTGCAGTCGTGTCAGTTTTTGTTTCGCTTTCGCGCGGTGCTGTTCAGCTGTCTTGTCAGCACGTTTGTAACTTTTTAAAGTTAAAAATGACGTCATTGCATGCTTGAATCCTTTTGGAATCATCAATTTTTTTAGTTTTACATCATAGGATGCTTTCATTGTTATTTGTAAGTTATCAACAAGATACATTGTTCATTCCGCACATTATAGTAAAGTGAATTTGATTGTAAACTACATATAGTGAATCACGCGTTACGTTCGATAAAAGCTGAGTGCATTACATAACGAAACTACAACATCCTTCATTACACCAAACCTTTGAACATCGAAAATCGTTGAAAAATATCGCTCCGTCTCTTGATCAAATAGAAGTTAATACATGACAACTAAAAAGTGGAATGTGATGTTATCTCAATGCGTTGGTCTATATTGTATGAAAGAATGCGTCAAATTTGCCCACGCCTCCAAATTAGACAATTGTGTGATGACGTCATTTTACTATAACTACCAGAATGCCTCAGTTTGTTGTTTTCTTGTGCAAATTAGGGCTAATGTTTTTTAAGGTGACTCGACCCAGTAATTTTGTGAGGGTACCATCCTACTTTGAAGCTCTCTGGTATCCCCACGTTTACTTTGATCGTAAGTCTAACATATAGCATGGATAACATATAGATCATCTACAATGTAGCATAAAATTTTTGGCGATCGCTGTTCATGTCACGTGATTATAGTGCCACGCCTCTTTGGGGTCTGAGTCGAAATTCTGCTGTTGCCGGCATTTTTTCGTGAAATTCTCTCGGCTACGTATAGTGCGCATTAGTGCCTTGCGTTGAACAGAGTTTCACCAAAATCGCAAAGACCCAATGCGAGAAATTCAGCGGTTTCCAAATTTAGGTCATAATTTATTTGAAAATGATAAGCAAACTTTACACGATTATATCTAATAAACTGTGAGATTTATCCCTTTATTTTGGGGATCTTTATAACAGATGGGTCCTTGCAAGTCAGCAAAAAGCTTTAGGGCCTTGTAAATGCGCGCGATTTCGAGCAATGCAAACATATAGAAATTATAGTTTTAGCTATTTGTTTATTTGGGCTTGAATTAACCAAGTTTCGTCGACATGCCTGTTTACAACGCATGGAGCTCAGATACAAATCAGAAGAAAGCTGTTCCGGTTAATTCTTTAGAAGAATTTATCAACGAAAGGATGGTAGTTGTGGTTTGTTGCGAATCCCTTGATTGAACGTTCTATTAGTTTTCGACTTCGGGAATTCTTTTCACTGATTCAACTGTCGTCGGCTTCATTTTATGCAGCGAAACAAAAACTAGACCCGTCTGGGCCAGTTATACAATATAACTATTTGGTCAAGTGGAGCCAACTGCACTGAAATACAACAAACTTTAAATGAGGGTCTAAGTAAAGCAAATAGCTGGTTTTTGTGCGTAAAATTCGTACATTTGTGCGTTAAAGGGAACACTGGTTCTTATTGTTGCACCCAGGGGGTAGGGGATTTGTCAGAATTCTTCTTCCCTATACCCAGGGGGATTTGATGAGGTTTGAATGGGCATTTGGACAAATCCCCCAGGGTCCCCGGGGGTGGCCCCCAGGGGGAAGCCGCTGATTGATGCATAAAACGGGGATCCCCCCTTGATGTACGGCTATACAACTACAACCTCGACCCCAGGGCTTTTCCCTTAAAAAATGGGTGGGGCGGGAAAAGGCGCTATGTGAAAAGCTAAAATTACAGCGCGCGATCTTGGGAGGCCTTTTATATCTCTTGACGATTAACGAAAAGTTTTACGAGATTTCCTTTTTGTCACAGATACTGGCTATGGTAATTTTTTGCTTTCCTCTGATTTCTATGAAGGGGACAGCGAGTAACATTTGAAAAAACCTCTGTTTACAGCTATCCCACATGCATAAAGTATGTACTGGAAAAGTCCGCTTTCTCGACTCTTCTGATACTTTATTTCATTTCTTGCGAAGTGGGCCGCCGTACACACCCTAGTTATTCACCTTAGTTGATTTCTTTTTTTCGCGACCTTTGTCTTGCCTAGTCCCTAGGCCTCACTATTATGCGTGGCCGATGCGTTTCGGGTCACGTGGTCCGAGAAAGTTTTTGAGGCCTAGACAAACTCAAACAGGGGTCTTTTTTGCATGAGCATGCGCGAACGCTGACTTGTCAAAGAGCACGCGACCAATGACAGCGACCGTGCTGCATAGCTTGCTTGAGATTGAAATAGTAGCAGGAACTTAGGAAAGACCTTCGTTGTACAAAATAAGTAAAGATCTGTTGATTTAAAGTGGAGACTGATGCGCTAAACGAGGTGAAAGAGCAAGTTTCTCAAGGATGTCTGACACGAACATGGCTGCTTGTAGTTGTTTGGCGCTCGACTCGTGTCGTGATTCCCCTTTAAGAACCGCAAAGTTTAGCATAGAATGCATTGTTGATGCGTTGCTACTGAACAAAATGTTCTTTATTTAGTGTTTGTCTATACATCGGATGTAAATCAGTTTCTCGATGCCGTAGAGGATTTCTGTCAATTATTTGTTAATAGCTGATTTAGCCATATTTCGGGAGTGGATTAATAAAGATCAGCGGGCGACTACCACGCCGTTTTCAGTTGGAATAGAAAGTTTCTGCCTTAAGGATTTTAGCGATACAAAGTTTGTTTATAGGAAAATTGTAGAACTTCTTGTTTTTGCGTGGACTAACATTGTAACGCATCTTTTACAGTAATTTGCTTTTAGCCAGACCTTAAATGTTCTAATGATTTTTAACTTTTGGTCGGCATCACATGTTTACTGTACTTCTTGGGAAACCTAACCGTTTGTTTCATCAAAATCGGTCACAAGATTGGACTTTAATTTCGGTCCTATTCAATGCAGTTTTGACTGTGTCTCATTGATATTAATTTTTTTTATTGTTCGAGACATACAAAGTGACTACCACCAACATCTCACCAGGTGACTAATCTACGTCTCGTGTGCTCTTAATTTTGTAACTTTAAAGTGCTGGGAAAATTGTAGAACATATATTAATTCACTGCTGAACTGAACATCGGCTTTCGCGCTGAAATTTGCTATGTTTTTTTTTAATATTTCTCTTCCTTTCCGATTTCAAAACAAAGAAAATTTGAAAGTGTTTACTTGCATCAACAAACGTTTCTGCACTTTGTTTAGACTTTGATGAGGCCAGCGCAATCCTCCAGGCACTACATATACGCGCGCTGTCGTCCAGGTCAAGTGGGGAGATGAAATTTGATAGTAGCTCGTGTATGTTAAAGCCGGTCTACTTCGCTTTTGTTAAGACCATGTTAGAGTTTTTTTTGCAAACTACACATTTTGTTAAATCACGAGCACATTCGCCAAGACCAACGAGCAAAATAATCACTATAATAGCTTTGAGACGCGCCATTTTGATGAAGGCAAACCCTGTGGTGAGCCTCCATGCACATCGCTTGTTCAGCGGTCGCGCATGCTCATGCAAAAAAGACCCCTGTTGACAAACTCGGAGAAGTGAGACATTTTGTCTCACTTGGGGCGGAGCTTTTATGGGAAGCGGGCGAGCTGTCAAAGCTTTTCCTCGCTGATGACAGATGTCCATCAGCCATGGAGAGTACAGAGGATAAAGATCTAAACCGAGCATTATTATTCCATGCACATTTTCATTGTTGAAAGTCCTTTGGCCTTTCTTTTTCATTTATCCCATTAAACTAATTTGAACTTTGTTTGATCTCAAAAACTATTTGTAGGTTAGGCAAAACAGCGTTGCAAAAAAAATTATTTGATCAAGAATCGGAAGGTAAGCTAAAGAAATAAGTTTATCTTTATTCTTGGATATGAAAAGCTATCTTTCGTTTCTCTATTTTCGCTTGCTCCTATAAAATTCTCGCTATCATTTCACTTCGAAATATTTTATGTAATTTAATTTTTGGATTTGGAAGCTTATCAAACTAATCGGACAGGCTGTTGAACTTGGTCTCTAAATTTGGTAGAATGTCAACAAACTATACTGTTTCAAATCTTTTTATCAATAAAGAAATATCATTTTAATGGCTCATTTTGAAAATGAACTAAAAGAGAAATTACTTGCACGTTATACAGTAGTATTCTTTCCGATTCAAAGTAATAGTTTTGTTCTTTAATAACAGAAACCAGGTTAGTTATTTTTGTAATGGTGTCAATAGTGCCGATCTTTAAGCGAAGGATATTCACGCGCAAAGTTATGTATAGATTATTTCAGTTGAACGTGTGATCTTTTCAAAAATGCAAAAATGCTCACGCATACGCACTCCGAGATTGTCTAGGCGTCTCCCAGCCGTTCGTCTCGGACACGTCACCGAAATGCATCGACTGACAGGGCCTGGAAAGACGCCGTATGGGGACTAGGCAAACTTTTGTCATCAAAATAAAAAAAAAATGACAAAAGTCTGACAAACATTTTAAATTAGTCTCACTGACGTCAATTGTGCGTTTGCTATTTATGCGGTTCGAACTGTCCCTAACCCCCATCCCCCCGCTACTATATTTCTAATGGCCACTATGATCAATTTGTAGCGGAAGTAACAGGCAGTTGCTCGCATTAAGTTGGTTGGTTGACTGTTTAGAATACGTTTATCAGGTGGTCAGTGAGATGATTTAGTTGTTGTCATGGCTACATAATAGCGGAGCTCCTCGCGCGCGCTTCGCGCGCGGAGCGGAGCACCATGGGTAAGAAAATTTGGTAAACTATCCATCCGAGAAAATTTGGTTATGACGTAGAGTACGCCCACCCGTACACACACTTCATGTAAGCCGATGTCAAATGTCACAATAGATCTTGCACAACTTGACTAGCCTCTTAGTTATGTAAGCTATCCGTATGAGTGCGATTAGATTGACAGCTGTCAAAATCAGACATCCGCTGACAATTATCACATGACCATCTCGCGGGCTCAGATGAAAGACCAGTCGTTTTGCCCAAACATATAAGCTGATATAATATGTCACACTTACCAATTCAACATAAAAACGAAACTACGCCGGGCAAGGCTGTCAGTTGGCTGACAGTCGTTTAAAGTTACATTGGCAAGCCAAATTAAGGTCAATTGACAGCTGTCAAAATGGGACATGTGCAGGCCACTATCAGAAAACTAATAACGTGGGCTCAGGCTCGCTCATGTACACGATCTGGCATTTTCCACTACATGCCGGACGGATATGTCTTACTCACACTCGTAGTCTGTTAATTCGAATATTCGCCATTCTAATGAAGGTTAATTGACAGCTGTAAAACTAGAGTATACGCTGACCATCATCACCTGAGTGTATCGCGGGCTCATTTGTCTGTCCATTGAGGTCACGTAGTGTTTAAAGTTTTGCGCTGATATTTTATTTGATCACTGGCTCAATTCGAAGTCCCATAGCGGAGAAAATCTATCCATCTTAGAAAATTCGGCCATCACGTGACCGTACACCGACCACCCGACCTTCCGTCCGTCCGCACCACAGGCATACCAACGTTTAATCTCGCACTTTCTAGCTAGTTTGGGAGCCTACAACCTGATATTGTACATCCATGTTTTGATTAATTGACAGCTGTCAAAATAGTGTTTCTGCTGACCAGTATCGCCTGACCCTATCGCGGGCTCAGGTATCGACCCACTGAGTTCTAGTGTTTTTTTTAAGGTATCCGCTAACAAGTTGCTACTTTTCAATCATCGCAGGCTCAAGTTCAATTTTTTTAAAATGCATATGAAATAAGTCGAGTTCATGAGCCGCACTTTTAAAATGTTGATTTCGAACTGACCTCGGACGCGAAAATTCAACCGGCTTTTACATTTACATGCAGGGAAAGCAATCACTTTTGACTTTTCTCACTGTCACGCGTTGATCACGCTCTACGTCCAATTTTTATGTTCTGATTGGTCAAAATTTGACAGGTGAGTTCATGCGGAAAATTTATGCAGCGTCTGGAAATTGCTTACTGATAGCTGGAGCTTACAGAGTTTTGTGTCATCTTGTGATGTTTTAAGCTGTCTTTTTCTACTTGGTGTACAAAATGAAATACAGCTGCTATCAAGATTGTTCCTTAATTCATGGCTGGTTTGTTTATTGCGCTTCTTGTTGACAAATGCACCGCTTGTCAAAGTCATTGGAAATCCGATTTCAGATGGCATCGTTTTCAAACTGAGCTTACTCACTTGCCCTTGCTTGAGGCGTAAGAGGGTTGAAAATTCTAGAACACTTGATGACCTTCAGAAGCAGCATCTCGACTGGTAAGCCTGAGAAATTGTTGTCTTTGATGTGTTTTTTTTTTCCGGTTTCCTGAAGTCGAGCGTATGGTTTATGCGGCTTTAAGTTTATCAGCTGAGTTTATACACGAGCAATGATCTAACCTACAATAGTATCAGGTTTAAAAAGCCTTTCGTCATTTTTTTTGACCGCAAATTCAAAGAAAATGTTCCGAAGATTATTTAGTTATGAGTTTGGCTGTAAACAGAAAGCTCTGAGCGATTTTCTTGCCTCCAGTTCATCTTGAAAAAGAGCCAACACCGGGAAGCCGACTTAAAACATAAATAAGCTTATGCTTACCCGACTCATGATTTTCAGAGACACTTTACTCTCAATACTTCTCTTCGTGAATGAAAATTATTGTCTCTGTAAATGTTTCACCGCATTATATTTATTTTATTGATTGTTAGTAGTCCCTCTCGCAATTTTTATCGCTGCACCGGTTGTATCCAGTCGAACATAAACATCGCATGCAGGAATACTCAAAACGCCGCGCGTAAATATCACTCGCTTTTAAAGATTACACATAGCAAAACCATACGCAGTTTAATAAAGAAAGGGAAATAAAACCTAAACATAACAATTTATCTCTCATGTTGAAGCGTAAATGGTAACTCTATTAATCGCACTGCAAATTTGGTGCCTGTCAAAAGTGAGACCCGTCCGGCTGGCCGAAAAGTGATTTTGTGAATTTTTTTATCGTTTTCATTAAAAGCCCATAATTATTACCCTGCATATCACATAGGACCAGATTTTTCTAACTGAAAAGTCCCGGCATTATAGAATTCTCTCTCCCTTTTTCGCTTCCATCTTTCCCCTTTCCCCCAGAAGCGCCTGATACTCAGGCTAAATTCATTGCTATAATTTGTTGTGCATCTGATCGTCGTGGATATTGAATGAGTGCAAATTGTGAAAAACTGCAGAATTATAGGTTTAAATAGGGCAAAAAAGAACAAATTCTGTCCAAGGTCTGTATGATAAAAACAAGGGCCTCATAGTACTGTTTACCTGAGAGGTGATGAGAAAAAGTATGTTTAAAAGGCTGGTTTATACGCCACCAGATTCGTCGCCAAGATTTACTAGTAAACTAAAATCCGGCCTGATTTTTTATTTTGGCCTCTCTTTTAGACAGAGGAATGTAACGTGTAAATTTGCTGCCACCAAGGACTATCGTGGCGCGTGTGTTTCTTAAAATTATATTTCGGGGTTGTCCAATTATCCATAGTCTAAACGGAGCAATGTTGGAGAGAGTGGTGAATGCCACATTAGTCTATGATGCAACAGCTAATGCAAATACAATACACGAATAGGTAGGTCTATTTGTTTTCCAGGCCTAATCTACTGTGATCGCAGGGGCACCCAACGACAATTTTCGGAAGAATATCTGTTCGGAAGACGATTTTAGATCTAGAATTTTCGGAACATTTGTTGTAAAATTTCTTGCTTACCTGCCTCTCCTATGATTTTCGAACATCAAAAAAATGGTATAATATTTTTAACGGATTTTAACCCTAAAAAGGTCACCTAGAATTTTCAGGAGCCTTTTTTCTGGCTGAAATTTTCGAAAAGGTAAGTTTTCATCTCTATAATTTTCGGATCACTAGGTTTTCAGCTAGGAAATGCGAACAGATGAAAAATTTTTAGGGGATGAAAATATGCCTATATCTACCGTTTAAATACTAAAATACGTTTAACAGTGCTATGTTTAAGTGGTTTTGAACTATATTCTCGTTGGGTGCCCCTGTGATCGAACATGATTGCTATTTTTGGGGGTACAAATAAGACTATTTAATAACTCGATGTAAAAGCTGTTTCACTCTTGGACTGTCAAATTATTTTTCTCTTAAATCACTTAGCCTTTACCTCAAACGTCAAATGAATGTGCCCTGATCTGTGGATTACAAGTTTATTGTTTGATTTAAATTTGAATTTATTAACGGGAGCTTCGCTTTTAGCCCTGGCTAAATCTATATATTAGCTTAAATGTTTTTGATTGACAAGAAAATTCAGTAGATAAGTCCTTGACGTTAAGAAATATTACAAAATACGACAATGTGTTATTAAAATTCATGACAGCTAGGCTTATTACAAATTACGATAACGTGTTATTACAATTTACGATAGCTTGGTTATTACAATTCTCGACAACTGTTATTACAATTTACGACAGATATTACAATTCACGACATTATTACAATTCACGACAGAACACGTATCCGACACAAAATTCACTTCTATTTTAAATAGACAGCAACATTTGTGATTTTTTGTCTCCTTGACTTTACTGCCAAATTCGTTGTATCGCGCTGAGCGTTTTCAAAACTTCGAAGGAGTTTTTGGTACCCAGATCGGTCCCGGTCTTCACAGTTGCTTTACTCTGCTTGTCTACTGTGGACGAACTTCCAAACTGAAACATATCGCCACTTCACAGACGTGAGATATCCTTGAAAAAAGAGATGAACGTCAGCGCTGATTCCGCACGAAATCATTCAATCAATTGCCGCGGAAGATTTAAGGAATATTTTTTGCAGAACACTGTCATTAGTTTGTTCTCCATCGCCCTGAACTTAGGATCCTGTCCTGTTATAATAATGATGAACGTGTTGGTGATCGTCGCGATTAAAACAAGACGCAGATTACAGTCCGAGTACAACATACTACTGGCTTGCTTAGCGGGAACAGATCTAGCTGTTGGCTTAGTTTCCCAGCCGTTATTCATCGCACAAGAAATCCTCTTCCTGTCGGGTGCATCGCTGGTTGATTATTGTAACTTCTACAGAAAGACAGTTTTTGTTTTTCTTGTTCCATGTATTGAATCGTTGCTGATCTTAGCTATACTGAGTACTGAGCGTTAT